GAAAGAGGGATTGTTAAACGCAAAATGACGGAGGCAGAGAAAGATGCACTCGAGGATTCAGCCTTCCGAGGTCTTTTCACGGCACCAAGGACCCATCTTTCCACCCTCCACAGGGCACCATGCAATGCAAAAGAGCCGATCGGATGCATCCGAGGCCACCAGAGGAGGGGGAAGGCTGTGCTCAATTATTGGTAATAATAATAATAATAACAATAATAATAATAATAAACAAAAGAAGAAAAAGAAGATAAAACAGGACGCAAGGAAGGATTATCTTCGGCAGCATCTTGCGGTGGCTTCTCTGGCGGAGATAGAGAATATATATCTATATACAGGCAAGGCAGGGAGGCTGGGGAGGGTGGCGCTGGCACCATTCACCCCACGTCCCCCTCCCACGTCCTTCACAAAGGACGGGCTATCAAGTCTGTAACTCGCTAGGTGATCAAGTCCCAGTCGAAATCATCAGGGATTTCCTCATTGGCGCCTGGAGGAGGCCCTGGAGGCCGAGGGACCAGATGGTGAGCTGAGCCAGAAAACAAGAAAAAAGAAGAGAAAGGAAAGACAACAGTTAGAATAAAAAAAGTCACATCTTTTTCACAGTGGGCCCTTGGACAAAAGCAAGCATAAAGGATTTGGGCCTTCTCCCTTCCCAGTCTAACAAGCAAGAACACTACTGGCATGGATTTCTCCCTGTCAGACAGCATCTACCAATGTCTGTAGGGCGTCTGCTGTGAAATTCTCCACAGCAGCTTCTACAGAGGCTCAGTTTCAGCCTCCTTAACTTTCCTTACAGCTGACTGCTGATAGAGCACCAAGGACTTCATCAACAGAAGCTTCTCACGAAAAGTTGCCTTCAAGCAACCAACTGAAGGTGAGGCTGCCACCGAAATCCTAAACTTTGCCAGAGCTATGGCAGAGCCCTAAATGGAGGGTCCTTTGCAGCCCGGGCTCCCTCTCTACTCTCAGTGCTCCATTTAATTAGTAAGTGCTTTGGGGGAAATGCACAAAGGTCTTGGAAACCGATTCTTTAATGCTCATTCGCAGAATAAGCCTTCATATCAGCCCTTACCTGGGCGATTATATCCTGGAGAGTCCTGGGTGGAAATCTGGTACATAGGAGATGGCCCGGAGAAGAGATGGGGAGGCTGGGGCTGACCATAGGAGTTCACTGTGAAAGGAAAAGAATTTTTTAAAACCCTGTTAATGTTCTAGTCAGCTGTCTTTAGTCCTGACTGGCTGGCAGCTCAGCCACTGAGCAACTCACTCAGACCCAGGGGATACTGCGGAGATGTTCAGCTGTTGGGCCCTAACTGCAAGCTATAGCTTGGTCACGGATCTTGTTCTTGGAACCAGTAAGAGCTTCTCTATTATTGTAAGAAGAAATTTTTCATCCAGAAACGCCACAAGCTGGCTCAGTGTCACCCATTTAGTTCAGTACCAGATGACACACACCATCGTAGTTGTATCAAGACCTCTGTGCTCTCCTCAGAGTGTGTCCTCCTACTCCTTGTCCAATCAGTATTTCCCCAACCCAGGTGCAAGAGCTTTCTTTGCAGCTCCTACAGGCCCTGCCATCTGGAACAGCAATCCCTCTACCTTGCCATTCCTTTCATTTGGTCACTTACAAAAAACACCACCTCCTTCTCCTTTTATGGGTTTACCTTTTAAAAGTATTTCTGCCTGGAGAGGCAACTGCCAAAGGTATACATCACATAATAACGGTCTGTCTAAGCCACAGACATCCTAATTCTTTAAAGCCAAAGGAAGGTGAGTTGTTACAAACAGCTCTGACAGCCCAGCTCCGAGTTGCTTGGTGCTACATTGCCTGGCAAGGCAGCAAGTAGTTAAGGATATTCACAGAATTGGGCCTTCATTCACATGTCATTTTAGTCTCCCTCCTAATTACCTTGGTTCATGGATTGCTCCTGTTTGCCACTGTTCAGGGCACAAGAATCAGAGATTCGAGGGGGCTGCTGTGGGCCAACCAGATGAGGGAGCTGACCAGTCTGGGTAAGGAAGTGATTAAGGGAGTCACAGAGGTTGGCAATATGGTGTTGATCCAGCGTCCAGTTCTTCCGTTCAGCCTGGCGCAGACTCTCCATCAGCTCTGCACGGGACAAAGGACAACGTCAAAGACAACACTCACACCATGGCCTCTCCTGCAGAGACTTTCTGTCTTCTACCCCTAAATCCTACCTTCTCCCCACAAACCCAACTTCATTCCTTCCAATCTGCCACCAAACTCCTGGAGAGCTCCATATCTAGGATACTGTCTCACTGACTCAGGGAGAGGAGGGAAGAGTAAGAGGGAAAAATCTGTTAGCTTTCTGACATACTTCTATGAATTAATTACACCTGCCCCAAATTCCTGCACTGTTTAAGTGCTTCAGGGTCTTGAACAGAACCCATGAAGTAGGACATTTCACTTTACAGAGTTGAGTCACTGAGAAACCCATGGACTTGACACAGTTACATGGCAAAACAGATCTGAGCACAGCACTTGCATATTCTGGACTACAGCCCTTGTCACTGGGCCAAAACTGACCTGAGAACTGGGAGTGCTCAATGCTAGACCAGTTCAGCCGGTTTACCATCTTGAAGCTTTCCTTCAGGGAATCGATGTTGGAGCACCAATCAGGGGGAAATGCTGGAATGAAATGAGGACAAGATTATTCCAATACAGCCCACCACCCCTCCACATAAAATGATTGGCCCATCTTCAGCAAAAAGCCTGATGCTACAAGTAGAAACCCTCGGAAGACCTGGGATGGTGCTGCCTCCTTCATTTAGCCCCTGACTTTATCCTGCATCCCTAAACAGAATCCCAAAGCCAGTGTGGATGTATCCTCCCTTCCTTCAGTAAGGATGCAATCTCCCTCTCCAATTTCAATCATAACTGGCTTTCACCCTTCTTCCACACACAGTGTAGGCACTACTTAAGGAAAGCTCTCTTGTGGCATTTCTGCTTGGGGGCTCCTCACTGTTCCCTTTTCCCCAGCTGCTTCCTCCATCGGCCCTGACTCACCAAAGCCAGCATTGTTGATTGAAGCCTGTGACTGCTGCTGCTGCTGGTGCTGGTGTGGCTGCTGCTGTGGGTGGGAGTGTGGGTGATGTTGTTGATGCTGGTGGTAGCCTCCATGCTGCATTGGGGGTGGGTGCATGGACATCACCGGTGGAGGGCCGTAACCTTCACCACCCTGTTGCTTTCCCCCTTGGGATGGGCAACCCTCTGGGGTTGGAGTGTGGAGTGGGGGAGCAGCACCCACTGATGAGGGGCCTTGCTGCTGCTGCTGCTGGTACATGTAGTAGTTGTGGTTGGAGGGCTGCATGTCACCAAGGAGAGAAGAGAAACCTGCAGAGTAAAAGAAAGAGGAGGGAGCTTTAAGAGCTGCCTAGATCAGACCCCTGCTTAAATCCATCTCTAATTTCACACTGCTCATCCTGCTATTTATGAAACTTTTGGAGTGCCCTCTACAGGCTGCCAACAACTATCACCTGCGCAGTTAGGCTCTGACCGTGCTCCAGATTCTGTCCAAAACAAAAGGCTCTACACAAAGCCCCAGAAGGATCTAAACTTCTAGTACAGACTTAGGCACTTAAATTCCTCCATGGATTTTTCCTATATTTACCAAAGTAAACCATGTTGAAATTTCATGCACGTGTTGCTTTTCTAGAAATGACCATTAAGCAAACTTAAACAACAAAACATTTAGAAAACATAACCTGATCAATCTGAGTTGCTTTTTCCAAAAGCTCCCTTCAGTTCCCATCTTACAAGCAGCTTGGTTGGGAAGCGTCACAATTTTTCTCACACAGACCATTAGAGGTCACACATTCTACTGCTTTTGTATGCAGAGTACGTTGCACACACCAGGGCTCCTTTATTACTTTCATTCCTTCTGACTCATTGGGTGTGTAATTTCTATCATATTTCAGGCATCCCCTCTCCATGCAAGAGCATCAGGTGCTCTCCATTCTTCCCTACATCAGGAGCTCAGCATAGCTCTTATGTCTGCTTCCCTGGTTCATTCTCTCCTTATGTTGAGGAACCTCCAGGAAAAATCCCAGTGAAGGGCATTACTTGCCACAAACCTGAGCTGCCCATTTCTCACTTTGAGTGCCCTAACTTGACCATCTGCAAGCAAGCCTTGGTTTTTCACTAGATTCAAAATCAACCCTTAGAGCATCCTACCACTGCGATAGGACAAAAGGATGAATGCTGGTATCCTGACTCAAAAGTGGCCCACAAAATCTCCTCAAAAATTGCAACTTTTCCTAGACTATCTTACAGCTGAAGACTTGGGGGAAAAAATCCCAAAACAAATCCACAACCCCAAAAACCCCGGATCACTGCTAAGCTTTTGCAAACAAAGAGACACACTGAGTCAAGGTTCTTCTCTTCATTTTTGTAGCTTGCTCATTCTACAACACCTCGCATAACAGGCTCCTGCTAGGAATCTCAAGTGCCAGCATGACAAAGGCAGTAAAAGTAATAAATTTTTATTTCACCAAAGCTACAGGTTCAGGAGGCTCTTCCTAGAGTAGCACAAGTAGCCTGCACTGTATGATAGCTGACATAGGTGAGAGGCTCATCGAATAATATATTCCTACTTACACCAGTCTAATATTTAGAAGAGTGTTTAAAGGCGAGAAGAACTGGAGATTTTTTAAAGTGTGTTCTGTGGACATCTCATGTCATCCTGCATCGATTCTGCCCCCTGGTGGCTGCTCCTCCAGTCCCAGGAATGCAAACTATGAATGGAGTTGCAGACCCTCTCTTCTGTGCTCTCAATCCACAAAGCTCAATTCTCCAAGGCCTTGTACAATCCTAGTTTTAACAGATCTGAGAAGAGACGACTTTCCACTCTCCTTTCAGAAAAACTTCACTGCCCACATGCAACAATCCCCTCCCTCCTATGATTTCTAGCCTGACAAGATTGTGAATACTTCAACAAGCTTTTCTTTAGGACTTCATTTCTCTAAGCGTCTGCCATTTTAGTATTTGCTTTTGTTATGAACACAAGGTATTTTTAAATCATTACCCTCTTTATTCTGAGAGAACTAGGGGGGAGCAACAGATAAAGGCCATGCAGATTTCTTATCTGCACCTGGCAGAGCTAATTACAGCATGCCAAAGAAGGAAAGTCTGTTTGCACCGGCTCCTAAACAAGGAAAGATCTGAGAGATACCAAGGATAGATCAGTGGACAAGACTGTGTGGGCAGATACCTGCCCACCCCACATGACGCATATGGTTACTCACCGTGCTGAGAGGAAGATGATTTCTCCAGCATGGATTTGTAGAGATTTCGGAAAGACCAGCTAAGATCCTGGAAGTTGATCTCAGAGTAGGAGAACTTGAAGTCATGGTTGGCACTGTACAGCGGGGGTGGCACATCGGCCCCTTCACGGCCCTGCCCCCCTGCTACAGTAGAGGCAACATCCACAGGCCCCGCACCCTGCTAAGGAAGGTAGAAGTAAGGCCTTTAGTTTGCACTAGGTTTTTTAACTTGAGAGGGATCCAGAGACTAGACACAGGTAGAACATGCACTGATATCCCGTATCGCTTAGCTCATCTCCCAACAAATCTTCCCAAATACCACTTTTCTTGAGGAAAATCAGCTACCATCCTCCCTTTGCAGCACACTGGCTCCAGCTATCTAATGCCATTACGCCTTTACCCTTGTCCCCATTCAGCCCCCTGTTAAAATTAACTTCCTCCTTATTTTCTGTCTGTGAAATTTCAGTTTCTTCCTTTCTTATTTTTGCCTCTGTATCACCATTTTCATTATTCCCTCTCTTCTCACCACTTCGCTTTTCCATCCACGCACTCCTCCCTCTCTCCTTATCCCCACCACAGGGCTTCTGTCCTTTTCCCTGCTGCTCACCTGACTGTAGTTGGCAATGGGGGTGGTGCTCTGGAGTGAGAGCTGAGGGGTGGCCTCAGGTGGCAAAGAAGCTTCTGTGCTGACTGGAACAGCCCCTCGGGGGCTTTTACTTGCCTCTTGCTCTGGGGAGTCTTGTGGTATCTGTGGATGGGGAAGAAAGAGAAAAGGAAAGGAGCAGAAATCAAGAACAGATGGAGAAGTGAAACTGTAGATGGGAAGCCAGCTCCTCTGCTGTAGAAGTTCATGGCTTAGACAAGAGGAGGACTGGGCCATAGTCACTAAAGAGTCAGGATAAAGGACTTTAAACAAGATTAACTCTGCTACTGAACAGCAGCAACAACAGCCAGGACATACATGCTCGTTCATTCGGTCCTAGCATTTGTCTCCCCATCTGTATACCCTGCCCCCAAAACGATACCATGGTCTGGTGCTGGAAGGACTCCTTGGAACAAGAAGGGAATTCTCCCCTCCTGCTCCATGCTGTCTGGAAAGAACACTACTCACGTCATCATCTGGAGGATGCCGCCTCTTGCGAGATATATCTGGACACGTATCTATTGTCCAATAAGAGCCCTGGAAAGAAGACCCATTGGTGAATGCACGGTTAAATCAGAAAGCTTCCTGAAGCAAGGGGTTATTGCCTCAAAGAATGTAGCACCAACTAGACATTAGGACCACAGGGATCACCTTTTAGGACATCAGACAACCGAGACTTGGGCATTGGAAAGAAATTCCTCTCTTGCATTGGGTTGTATTGACCAATGAGGTACGATGCTACTGGTGGAAGGCAGAATGCTCTACATTTCCATCATCCCGAGACAGGACACCAAGAAGAGCAAAGGATGTTTTGATCCAAACTAGGCCAACTCTTTTGGGTCTGCACACCCCTTTCAGTACCTTCCTCACAACATGGATTTGTTACTGATGGACGAGAACCAACTAAATGTTCAGACTCGACTCTTATTCCTCTTATGGGAATCTGCCTCTCTGGGGGGTTTCCAGTGCAAGACAGACACTGATGTGCTAGACTGCATCCAAAGAGGGGCCACCATGGTGGTTAAGAACTAAAACACAGGATGTACAAGCAGTTCACACAGAGAGATTGGTTTAGCCTGGACAAGAGAAGGCTAAGGGGATCTAACCAACTGTCTTCAGCTGTGTGAGGAGATTATAAAGAAGACAGACAAACTCTTCTCAGAAATGCACAGCACAAGAGTAAGAGGCAACAAACAAGTTAGAGCAAGGGAAATTGCAATCAGATATAAAGAAAAACTTGTCCACAATTATGGTAGTGCAGCACTGGAACAAGCTGTGGTATCTCCATCCTCAGCGATACTCAAAACTCAAGGAAGACCTCAACAACCCAATCTAATTGTCCCTGTCTGGGTAGGGGTGTGTGCTGACCTCTAGAGGTCCCTTTCAACATAAAATAGTCTATAATTATGTCTTTTGTATTCTGAATCAGTATAAAGAGAACTCTAGAGGGTGGACAAGACAGGTTCTCATTATAAACCCAGCTCAACATCCTGTGAACACCTGTAAACATACACATCGAAGTCAGTGAGGATTTCCTGGAATAAGCCATATAATCAATGGTATTTTTGAGCAGTGATCTGCAAAGATATATTACTTCCATTTATAGATGCCAACTGAGCACACTTAGTCCTTTAAATATAACCTGAAATAAAAGGCTTGCGCAAGTGGCCCTTTCTGGTAACTTTAGGACGGGGAGGAGGGGACAGTCTTTCTGTCTAAACGCATAGCTTCTTGTCCCGACCATCTCCTTCTTCTTGGTTGTTTGTTTTGTTGTTGTTGTTTTTTTTTAAACAGAAATATCTGCATGCCAAGATGCCAAGGTATTGCTAGCATTTTCTCCTTACCATCTATTTACACTAAGAGAGCTTTATTATCCCTTCCTTAGGAATTTGTTGGCTAAATTCTTCAGTTTTACATGTAACTTATTTCTACAGATTTGAACTATCTGACGATGGCATTTTCTTCCCAATCCCAAATGTTTTGCAGTCTAAATAGGTGGTAGTTCTGCTCTCACTTCCATGGATCTTGTCTCCCTGAAACCCGTTATGTCACGTTACAGTCCCGCTGTTGACCAGCAGCCACTACGGTCTTCCGTAATAGAACAGGTTGGGGACTAGACCCACATTTTACACAAAAAAAGCAAGAAGAAAAAGAAACAAAACTGATAAAAGACGTTCAACTCCAGTTTTTCCTTTTTCCAGTATCTTTAAAGGCAACTGAAGATCACAGATAAGAAAAATAATTGCTAAAACCACTAAGGCCCCTTTACAGGTTCCCTTTAAGTGAATGCTTCTGTAGCCAAAGCCCTGCAGTAAATCTTACTACTGCTTCCATTTTTGCCTACACTTTAGGTTTCAAATTCCAACCATGAGTTAGAAAGGGCAACCCCGGCTTATTCCCTGCAGTTTTAAATTGCTTGCTCAGGAACATGGAGATGTCTTACCTTCCCAGGATCATCTCTCGGTCGAGGCACCTTCCGAAAACATTTATTCAGAGAGAGGTTATGACGAATAGAGTTCTGATGAGAAATTAAGAGACACAGGTAAGTGCTACAACAAAAGCGTACAGCCTTTAGGGTATGCCTGGAAACAGGTGGAGAAAACCTAAGGCTGGTGCATACTCCAAAGCCAAACCTCACTACATATGCCCCGAACAGAGCAGAACAGAAGCTGTGGATAGGAGAGGGATGGATTAGGATGAATAACAGGAGGCTGAATCACCTATACATCTACAGAAGGTGCAATGAAAATAGCATCAGTGTGATACAGAGGTCAGCAGTGATGTGGGGTTTGTTTTGTATTCCTTGGTTGTTGGTGGGTTTTTTGCAAGCTCCTTCTTAAGGAGCCACCACATACATACAATAAAATCCTCAGAGAAAAATGGGACTTCTGGCTCTGTGTTTTCTCCAGTTGGTCGACTTAGTTTCCTATCTGTCTTTTTATTTTGCTCAGTGATGCTATTTTGCACAAAATTAAGAAAATAAGTGTTGTAGTTAGACAAAAAGGGTACTTCAGCGACCCAAGTCCTCACCTTCCAACCAATACCAGCATTTTTGTAGTAGGGAAAGTTGTCACAGATCCAACGGTAGATCTCACTAAGTGTCATCTTCTTGGCAGGTGATGAGTTGATGGCATATGTGATCAAAGTGGCATAGCTGTAACGTGGCTTCCCGTCTTGGTGCACTGCAGCCTCATCCTTACTCAGGGTGGCATTGGGATCTGTCGGTGAGCCTGGGGGACACTTTCGGGCAGCTCCTGGAGGTCCTGCTTGTGAGGAACCCCCTAATTTTTCAATAGTAGCCCTTAAAGTAAGCTGTGGGAGCCAGTCTATGGAGGTGAGGCTGCTTTCCAGGTCAGAGGCCATGATGCTGGACACAGGAGTATCTGTGAGGAGGAAGAAGCAGCAAGGTAACTCCTGAGATAAAAACAAGGTGAACCCTAAAACCAGAAACATCCATTTGCATTCCTCCTCTGCTTCTCCCCTATCAAAAATACCTGTGTGAAGATCATCCTTCTTCATATACCTTATTCTCAGCCAGACAGAATCATCCAAAAAGGCCTCTGACTGTGTCTGTGGGAGGACCACCCTTGCTGATAGCAGCTAGAACAGGGCTGATGGTAACGTTGCTAGGACAGTCCTACCCCGAGCATCCCAGCTGTTCCCAGGTGAAGAACCAGGATCTGTTCAAAGGAGGTGAAGCCTTTTCAGCAGCTGTATCGCATTCACTCCTTTACTATGCAAGGAGTATAACCTTGGGGCCCTTCACCAAGATTACGAGTAGGTTTACTGTGTCAGGTAAGAGGAAAATCATAGCTAGAAGGGAATACTCCTTCACGCCACATACAAACCACAGTTTAATTAGATCCTCTGGAAAAGTCAGGACTGCAACTATTTTAATTTGGGGGAAATTCATTTCTCTCTAAGGCCCAGCCACTTTTTTTGCATCAGGTGACATTATAATGAATCCTATTGCTTAGAGCTAGGATTACATATCTCATTTTAAAACACCAAGATCATGCATAATACTATATATAGATAATTACATCTACCACGTCGAGGTGGAAGAGACCATATTAAGCTCATAATAGTTAAAGCTTTGCCTACCATAACCCATTTTTCCTAAATATACATATCATTTTATTGAATTAAATCTTGCTTAATTCACAATATAACAGGCAAGTATTTTCCCCAAATCTGAGACACAAGAACAACTTACTTGTCCAAGGTTACCCAAGTTTGCCACAGGGTGGAAACAGGCTCAGGATCCTTCCTCTCATAAATATTACATGTTTCTCCTCATGAAAATAAAACATGCCTGCCCAACATGGCTAGCACCTGTACCCAGAGTTTTCTACTTAACAATCATTTTACATGAAGAAAATGTTTAGCAGCGTGAGCTGGTGTGAACTTGTACATTTCGCACACAAACTTGTATGCCGCCTTTTGTAGTAGTCAAGGCAGCAGAAAGATCATCATTCTTACTCGTAACTGGCTGCATCACTACACCAGGAGCAATCCCTTGAAGTCTGGACTGAGGCAGCGAAGTTTCCTTGGCCACAACCTGCACTGCTCTGCACTTACTCTTTGCATAAAGAGAAGGATCACGTCTTGAGCAGCTGCAAGTTTCACATCTTTCATTTTTGAAAATAATATTTTTAGAGGATTAGATGGTACTATCTCTGAGCATCCTAGTGCACACAAAAGGTAAACGCACAAACATTCACGCATATCCTTATCTACATGCTCACGTTACCAATTAAACCCATGCACACACGTAAGGGAAAACCGACCGACATGAACACACTCTGCTAAGGAAAGATTCATTGGCAGACACCTCCCACCAAGTGCATCACTCAGATGAGTGGATCAGATGAGACAGGGAGACACCCATCTGCATGAATACCAATTAGACACTCATTCTAAAAATAGGTGTTTGACAATAACACAGTGTGGATGCACAGATCCAGAGACAGATGCACCCAGCATTTTGACACTGAAGCTCCCGGTTCTTTCCCCACAGCCATACGCGTTACACATTGCACTTCTGCACTGGAGTGCTCTCAGAGCACAAAAGCACTGAGGAATCTGCACTCCAACACGTTTGTATGCACTAAACCTTTCATTTTCACACACATGCTCATCGCACCTCTTAGGACTCAAACACCTACACAATACCCCGACAAAATCCATCCCTCAACCATCACAAGCAGCGACTCCAGAGCCCTGGGCTCAGAAAACACCTCCCAGTTGCACAGCGAACACTATCGCAAACACTGACATGCACACAGAGCCTGAAAAGTAAAACTGCAGCGCTACAGTAGCTGTAGCAAGTGGAAACATTTTTCTGCCTGTGGAGGAAAGGAAAAGCCCAACTGCTACTCACTTATCTATCTACTCATCTGCCACACTATCACATATACGATAGAGATGACTACGTGCTGCACAGCTAAGCAGATGAGCAGAGCTGCAAAAGGCATTCCATGATCTGCCCTCCTCAAGTTGGTGCTTACTGAATAGAGCTCTTTCTGACTGCATCCATCTCATCTCAAACATTTTAAATAAAATAAAATATAAAATAAAATAAAAATAAAATTAAAAAAAAAATAGCACTATTCCTTCCTGAATTACCCAAGGGATAAGCAACAATGTATTTTCACCCAGCAGGGATGAAGGCGGCATCCACGTAACTGAAACAGCTACATTTGCATGGTAACTTTACAGGTACAGCCCTGCTAAAAGTAGTATTCAACTTGGGAGAAAACAAACCTGAACTAATTATCAGTTGAATGCTTAATTTTGTAAGCATGCCTCATATAAATTTTAATTTCCACAGTGCAATCAGAGAACAAATTACTGCTGCTTATCATATGCATGTTAAACCATTATGAGATATGAGTTGTGCTAACAATACGAATCCAAAGTAAAATAAATAAAAATTTCCCTGACACCCCCTTCTTTTTTTTTTCTTTTTTTTTTTAAAGACAAGCACAGAAATCAAGAAAATGAGGTGATGAAAGCCTATGGTAGATCAAGGAACACCAGAAATTCAAGCAGCAGAAGAAAACACCGCAGTTTTCACAGAGCTTCAGATCTGCCCAGGTTACGTCAGTAGAGCACTTGGGATGCCTGGCTGCGCAGTAAAATGTAAGGCTGATATGGAACGTGCCAGTTGTCAAACCCGCAAGCTTTTGTGTAGTTGTTCAAAATACACTTGTCAGAGAGACAAGCAAGGTTAGAATTGAGTCACATTACACCCACGCTAGGAATCTGAATATTTACATTCCCTGGTTTATAAAAATATTTCACAAAAACAAAATCCCAAAATCTTACATAAAAAAATTCTGTGTACTCATATGCACTAATCACGCAGTACTGAAACAACTAATTTTCAGTAAAATACAGCAGGCTTTTTAAGAACACAAATGCTAGACAGTAATTTAGGACAGAAAGAGAAGACTCAGACCCACATGGCAAATTTCAAAGCAGTGGAATAAGATCTTTTTTCCAAGTTTAAACTTCACCACGTTACCGGATTTTTAAAGTCTGTATCCTGGCAATATGGGATCTGTAGTAATAAGGCATAGTCAACCCTTAGGTAAGGTGGCAATTTTGGAACACTGTCAGTGCAAAAATAATTTGGTGTAATTGGCTACTAAATTATTTAAAATAATACTCACTATAACGGTAATCCTTGCTATAATTTGTGTTGCATATCTTATTCACCTGATCCAAGCAGTACAGCAGCCTGACACTACTTAATGGTACGACAAAACAAGCCTGCAGCCAAACCAGAGCAGCTGATGATTCTTCCAGCTTGCCTTTCCCAGTTTATTGCCTGGCAAATCTTCTTTCAAACTCCTCTCTCATATCCTGCTCAAACAAAACAAAACAAAAAAACCCAAGAACCAAACCCAAACTAATGACTAACAAACACACTGAACTGAAATCAAGGGTGTTGAATTAAAAATATCTACCACCTCAGCAAGCCAGAAGTGACTATGAAGAAACAAAAAGGCAAAGACCAGAATTCATAATCTCCCACTTTACATGGTAAATGGTATCTGTTGATGTATTTGGCTGACTTAAAAAACCAAGGGTAAGGTAGCCAAGTCATAACCACCATCAACAGCTGGAAATTGACTTCGGTGTCTTCCTTTCTCAAGTACTGACTAGCTTCAGTACAACCCCAGGTCCAGACAGGTCAGAGAGATGCAAAAGTGACAGCTGAGCACTGATCCAAAACTACAATTAAGCAGGAGAGAATCTGTCTGGTTCATAACAAAAATGTATTAATCACTAAAGAAAATCCTAGCACTGAATACCTTTCAATAACCACTAATTCACTTGGGACTAGTAATACTTCTCTACAGCTTTCCAGGAAAGCTACTGCTTTACTTTGAATATTCGCAACCAGCAAAGCAAACCTGGGGCTGCAAACGCAAGGCAGCCTTTTCCGTCTGTGAGCCTGTACTATCCCTGCTGCTGGACTGAAGACATCTCTACTTTGCCTGCCCTGCTATTTTGCAAATGCGTGCTCTCCAGCCAGTCAGATCTTATCCAAGATCACTGCTACTTATAGATCAGGACTGAAAAATGTATGAAATGTGGGGAATAGCGCTCCAAGGGTCACATTGAATGCAGTTAATAGACATCTATAGCCTGAAATGTTCTCCAAGGCTGAACTCAAAGGCCGGCCAGTCAGAATCGGTTACAACTGACGCAGAGTCATGCAATGAATGAAACTGCGCTGTGCGCAGCCTACAGAAGATGCGTATTCTAAATAAACCTCTACATTTACTTTTCTATATTTACTTTTGCTGTTGTTTCATTTGCTGCTATTCCAATCCAGTGAAACACGACTGGCAGAACACTCAAAGGAGACTCAACTTGGGTTTCTCTGCACAAACTTTAAGGATGAAATGCACCACAGACTACCAAGCAACGGGAGACAATGCTGTAAAGCACCTATAAAAATAAGGCCACTCCTATTTAGGTGTCTGAAACACAGATCCAGTGATCTAACTCACAATATCCATCTGATACACTCAGAGACACACCCAGCTTCTGAGGTATTTAACAAACAAGAAACCTCAAACCCAACAAATGGCAAAAAAAGAAGAACCACTTGTGCACAACCTTTCTGAAATGGAAAGGTGAGCAGGATGTCAATTAGAGGAAACTGCCTCCAAAAGTAAGGCAGAAAAGTAAGACAAAGGAATACCACATGCATGGAGAAAAGGACAGCTTCTACTTTGATGGAAAAAGGCAATTTTGACATAGTTGTGTAAATTATACATGCAAGAAACTTGTGTTCTTATGCCAATACAGAAAGGAGGAAAGAATCAGTTTTGCTAACTCTGGCAGGA